CAAGTTTGTGAGCGGCAGTGTTGTAGGCTGAAAAATGTGCGCTCGTATGGTGTAATGGTTAGCACTCAAGACTCTGAATCTTGCGATCCGGGTTCAAATCCCGGTATGAGCTCTAGACGCCAAATTCAGTGCTGTGTGCTCTACTGTGTTAAAACGTGCAAGCGCTTCAGAAGTCTCAAATTCGATTCCGTCTTTATTTTATATTTAAATTATTCAATATGAATACACATCAATTCGATCTGAGGTCCTGCTACACATTTCTCATGCTCATGGGACCCGCTCCATGCACCACGTGACTATCTACCAAAATACGCGGGTCTTTCTAGCTCGCAACTTTTCACTCTCGGCCTCTCAGTGACCCCAAGAAGGATCCCAAAAGATCGAGAGCGATGAGCCAAATATCGAAATTTGGAAACACCGGCGTTTCTACGAGCTCCATGACCAAGACTCTCCACGAAAAATTGCGAAAAATATTCTTCGCCATTTATGGCTCTCAATCGTCCATATTATATGTATGGAACGCTGACGCATAGCGTTTTAATTCGGCATTGGGTTGCGTTTTTGTCCATTTTATTCGAATTTTAAAACGATATTTTAAAGCATACCAGGGTCCAACCATGAACGCGGTGGTAAAAAGAGTCACAGACGCTACTTTAAAAATATTTCCATGTTGTCAATGGTTTGAAAACGCAGCAGAATGTAAAGCACACTGGTTCAAAAGGGCTGTACATAATTTATAATCACTGGATTGTGAGTTCGTGGTCTATAAATCGTGTGTCTACATCTCGTTTTCGTTGTCTATCATGTAGAATGAAATTTATAAACGCAGATAATTTAAATCGGAAGCGTGAGGGAATGCTGTAGGAGGACTAGAGTTGGGTCATTGAGAGGAAAAGATAATGTAAGGGATGTGTGTATGAGGTAGTGGGCTGGTAGTGCGTGTGCGGTATAATGGTAGCTGAGGATGTGTGGTGTAAGGTGAGACGAGTTGATGCAAGATGGTTATCGGTACAATGTGTGAAGGCAACAGATATGAAGTTCCCTGATAGTCTAGGCGGTTAGGATATCTCGCTCTCACCGAGGTGACCCGGGTTCGAGTCCCGGTCAGGGAGTTCTTTTTGCTTACATACCTTATTATATGGCTCGCTCTCACACCATTTTCATCAACCATGATACGCACAATTATTTTTCAAAAATATTTCCTTCACCTACATCCAATTTCTTCAAACATGGCTGTCGTAGCCAACACCTACGCGCCGTGGGGCAACTTTGCCGTCCTCGCCTTTGCCGACCCGTCGCTTACCCTACATGAAAGGCAGTGCCCGACCGGTTCAAGTTCATGCTCAAGTACTGGTTCGACATTCGCGTGGGGCCGAGCACGCTACCGGCGCCGTCGCCGCTGGTCCACTAACAACCGCTATGGTCCAACCAGTTTCTCCCGGTAGATAGCTTTAGTTACATACTAGTAGAAAAGACCACAAGATGGCACACTCGGTACGCACGGACGATGGCCAAGATCAGGATCACTCAAGCCCAGCACGTCCACGCCTTCATGCTCGCCGCCGCCCCGACGGAGACGCTCGCGACAAGCACTCAACGCCTCATCCAAGCGGTGACGGCAAAGTGCCGCGGCCGTGACCTCGGCCCACACGTGATACCCAACGACAAATTGCTCGGCTGGCTCGCTGCGACTGTAGACGCCTTCACGTGTGGCCCCGTGCCAAGCCCGACCCCGACTCCCAAGCCGCCATGGCTGGTTCGACTCCACAAGGTAACCAAGCCGTTGACCCTGACGACGCCTGCCGAAGCCCGCCGACGTCGTGCCCCGCCAATGACGCGCTTGCAGCTACCGACCCGCCACCTGGGCGTCGATGAAGACTTCTACGAGGCGCCTGCTGCCGTAGCCGCCTCAGCCGAGCTCCGGCTACCCGACACCATCTTACCCAAGTACGCCGACTTCTTCTACCAAGTGATGCTTCGCGCGGTCAAGTTCCGCGCACATTTGCACTGGCTCGACAGGACCGACCAAGCGTGCCACTTCCTCGTAGACTGCGACTTCATCAAAGACGTGTGGAGCACGCTTCACGCCGTCATGACCCTCTGGGCGTGACCTTGCCGACAACGCTCTCGGGTTACCTCTACTCGACGCCCAAGACGGCGTCCAACATGCACCAAACCGCGTTCCGCTACCTCTGGCCCGTGCTCTGCGCCAGCGTCTGGTTTAACTTCTGGCGAGTCCGGAACGATCGCGTCGTTCGCGCCGACCTACCGCCGCCAAGTCCATGGACGATTGCCGTCAAGACGGCGCGTGTCGCTCAAATGCACTTGCACCACAGCCTCGTACAAGAGCGCGAGCAGCCTGCTCTTCGTGGCTTCTCCGGCTCCTCGCCCAACACGAGTGCACACATCGAAGAAAGTCCGACATTTTATTCAGCATAGTTATATATATATATATTGTAATAGACGACCCACTTCAACAACAACAACATCCAATTTCTTCCAACATGATTCGATTCAGATACCACGAGCTGAGCGAGTGCACTTGCATTTGGCGATAGCCGGGTCTTACACCGATATTTTGATGGCATCAACGCAGTCCATGCTGTACGACACACACACACGGCTTGATTACACGCTGCCTGATACCGAACTCGACAGCACCCATATTGGGCAGCACCATGCACAAACCTTCATAAATCAAACTACTGCGCATGCTATGCGGGGAGACTGCTAGATTCCCTACCCGGCCTATGCCCCACCTAACAGTAAACCAAAAAGCTCGACCACACCCTGCACCAAGAAAATACAAGGTCAACTCTATTGCCGAGATCTAATATCTATAGTCAGCCTTTCACATTAGAAGATTGTTACGCTTGGAACGAGCGATTAACATTTTGGCGGCTCTTGGCACCGTGATGCCCCATGCGCATGTTTTGAGTCGCACTTAATGATTTCGCACTTACACGGGTATTATCACATGCGCAGCTCAACGGGGAACGTGCGATCGGTGCGTCCTCGTCATCGGTAGCGGAGCTGATGCTTGATGAGCCCGTGCGGTGTAGGTGTGTCTTGTGCCTACGGGCCTCCTCAACATGGAGGGGAAGGTCCTTCCGAATGCGCACGCTTTTGCTGACCTGAACGACGACAGCGACATCGAGCTCATCGTTGGTTCGATGGCTGGGAAGGTCGCTGTCTTTAAAGTATTATTGCGCCTGCACTTGATCTCTTTTATGCATGTCTATGATAGGGCCTCTCGTCGCCGGAAGCAGTCTATGGCTGCGAGCTCGATGGCTGCATCACTGCGATCGTCGCACACACGACACCGACGCTCGGCTGCCGCCTGTTTGTCGCGACCGCTGAAGGCCGATGCTTCGTCTTGCAAAAACGCGCAGAGGCTGACGCACTCATGCTCCTTGCACAGTTTGTATGCCGCGCTCGTTGCTTTGGGAAAAGCGTAATCTGAATGGCGTAGGCGATTCCACTTAACGTGAGCGCTGGTGCCGTGCTTCACGATCGACTGTACCTCGGCACGCGCGACGCAACGATTCATCTCTTCAACATTGAGCACGTAAACACACGTCTTGCCGTGAGAGGATAATTTCTGAAGCCTACTATGTCAATAGGTGCAAAAGATCACCGAAGAAAAGAAGATCCGCGTCCCCGGTGAAGTCGAGTCCATGACGCGTCAGAAAACAAAGTCCCATGGGCACGCTGGCGCGTTGGACGCGCGACCACTTGTTGTGTGCTTGAACAACGGCGCTGTCTTTGAGCTCAAGCACTTGACGTCCATGGTGCAGCTGCAGGCGCCGTGGCCGAGCGGCGGCCGGGCGTTTGCACTCACGCAGCTCAAGTCGCAGGGAGTGAACGCCCTCGATGCGTTTGGCTGTCTCGACGGCGCTGTGGAGCTGCGCCATGCTGAGACCAGCGACGTGCTTTGGTCTCTCCAGGTGTGCCTCTCGATATTACCTACGATTTGATCTAATGGATGACTGCGTAGTTACCTGACGCGCTATTGATGATGGCAACAATCACTCTCTTTGCAAATGGTGACGAAGAAATTGCGCTTTGTTGCTGGAATGGCGACGTCTACCTCGTCAACAAAGACGGCTCTCAGCTGCGGTTTACGATCCCATTTTCCATCACTGCGTTCTTCTCAGGTACGACGACTCGAAGTATTGCAAGACGCTACTATACGATATGACCTCTTCAGGAGCGTTTGCGGTCGGTGGTGAAGACACACTCTTTTGCGCTACAACGTCGGGAGGCATTTTGTACTACAGCGGCATCGGCCAGTCGATCCGCCATATTCGGCATCATAGCGTGGTACGAGTTCAAAGGAGGTGCTCGATTGTTGTTAAATCCACGTGACATCTACTGTAGCTGGAAGCAATCGAGACAGCCGATCTTCAGTCGACTCTGGGCTCCAGCGAGAAGCGTCGCGATCTTGTCGCATCCCTGCAAAAGTTTTTGTCGCCAATGACGCCAAGCAAGAAGGACGAGGCCCCGACGCTTGCCGCTTGTTTGCGTGCGCTCGTCTACGCCCCCAACACGATCTTGGCGGCACCCCCACTCGCGGATGATACATCGGGGCTCTTACCACTTCCACCCGTCCTCGCACCTGACACAACCGCGGAGAACGATGAAGATGATGACGACGTGGCGCCGTTACCCAGCTCGCCCGTCGAAGCGTCACTTTTGCTTCCTCACGACGCAGCGACGCCACCGGCGCCACGCACAAAGAAAAATCGGCGCAAGCAGCAGCAAAAACGGTGACGCTACATTTTGATACAGAGGTGTTTCGAGATTTTAATGCAACACGGCGCTGCGCACTTGGTGGGCGACTTGTACGAGGTCTCCGACCGTCTTGGGCCCCCGAAGCAGCACTTGGCACATGAATGCCTTCGTCTGCTCCATCGCACTCTGGAACGAGCCTTGGGCTTGGCGGTGGAAGCCGTCATATGCGTGCAGCGAGACAGAAAAGAGCTCGCGGAGACCAATTGGGTCCTCGAAGAGCCGCCAGTACACCTCGTCACGCTCGACAAACCGGCCCGTTGGAAGGTCCAGGAGGTCCGCGACGAGAGCGCCAAGATGAAGAGCGACCATAGCAAACGCGTACGCTGGCCGTGCAGGTAGCATCTCGAGGCACGCGCTGCGGTGAACTTCGCTAAAGAATACGAGTGCGTGGAGAGTAAAGACGCTCGACGGCGAGTTTTGGAGCACGGAAATCGGATCGTCGGATGGGAACCCAAGCTCAGTCCATGCGGGAGGGCCGGCGTCGCCACGAACACTTGTCCATAGACGCCGGAGATGATCCATGTGGTCGCGGTTCGCATCCGAAAACACTGCGCGGCTAAGGCTCGCCGCCGCCGAAAGTTGCTGGAGTGCTGCGGCCGACGGCTTTTCGGCGCCTGACTGCGAGTTGAAGTAGCGCCCGGCAGTAAACTCGACAGTCTCCCAAACGCGCGCGCTTGTTTTGGAAAGTTGCTCCTTGCCCGAGGCCTTGAGGCTCTTCCACATCGAGTTGAGGCCGCCCTTTGACGTCGCCTTGACAGGCGACGCACGGAAAAAGTGCTCAAACTGCTCGTACTCGGGCGCGTCGATTTGCGAGCTGTAGATCGGGTACGCTTGTGGAGAGGACGAGAGCTGCAGGACCTTCACGAGCACATGGCCCGACGGCAGAGTCTCGGCGTCGTCGACGAGATCGCGCCACACGTAGCCGCCACTCGCGGTCTCCTGGAGGCGGAAGTGGTACTTGCCCTCAAAGGGGAACGCATGGCGCAATGACGCGACGGTCGCACCCTGCGGCAGGAGCACGCTGGATGGCTCGTCGTCCTCGGCGCCGCAGAAGACGAACCTGCAAAAGACGCTGTCGTGGCTCCCCATGTTTCGATTCTCCGTAGAAACTCAATTTTCTCAAGATGCCGGTTTTTGAGTCGTGAAATGGTCAGCAAGTAGAATACGATTCATTGGCCGTTTTTTCATATTTATCGGCCAATCCGTGACGAGGACATACAATCCTTGGCGACGGTCAATGGCGAGTCGCCCGCCAATGCCGGCCAAACCAAGTCCAAGTTTGAATATGGAACGCCCGAACTTGGCATGTCGATCGACAACTCTCAAGAGAGCATTCATCGCTAGATCTCGTCATCGTTTGAGGTGTACAGGGCAAGAATTCGACGATCAAAGACCTGTGTACCGAAGTGTAGAGGCACATTGCTGTCGAGGTTTGTCAATCTGCACCACGTGCTAGATATACTTGCAAGGTTGTCTGCAAGCGGTTTGAGCTACGCTTGTCGTTTTATTGAGCTTCATGTATAATGCGGTACACTGTTGCCAGTTGAACGTGGCAGCTGAGCAAGGCCTATGTATGGGGCGTTGCGTCGAGTCGCCAATTCCGATTTCAAAATGTTTCGAGCAGACCAATCCCTTGGTTGCCGTTTCTCTCGAGGGCCACGTGTCGTATCTTAACGCGTTAACCGGACACACACAGCGGTTTCGCATAATCCGGCGAGACCATGACGAGCAAGGGAGCGGGGGAGGCGCGGGCGTCAAACACGGCCGTGACGATGAGCGTCGAGAGCGTGCATCAACAGTCGGAGCTGCTCGTGATGGACTACCTCAGAGGATCTCGCTGCATGAAGACCATGGACGCGCTCTCGCGCTGGATCTCGGACAAGGCGAGGAAGTCGTCGCCCAAGTCCCACAGCGCCAGCGAGCTTTTCAACAAGGACGTCGCTGCGCGTAAAACTCAAGTCCGAAGTCTAGCTCCGTCCTCGAGTACATGGTACTGTATTCGAGTCGGCAACTGGTCTCGGTGGTTCATGGCGTTGCAATATACGTAGATTGGACGCCGGAAACAGTCCAAGTCCCATCGCATGAGGTAGTGTTGACTTTTCTTTTTGACGTAAAGCAAGCGGTGCATGCTAGTTGCGTGAGCCCGGATGTCTTGGCGTGCATGTCGGTCACTCCGACTGATGCATCCTTGCCAACATGGACACCCGAGGAGGTTGCTATGCTCAAGAAGGCGGTCAAGAGTACGCAAAGCATTACGGACAAGACCGAGCGCTGGAAAAACGTCAGTTCCATCCTCGGCCGAAGCAAGCGCGAGTGCTACGACAAGTACAAGGAGATCAAGAAAGACCGCAAATCTTCGTCCAAGGTTGGCGACGCCGAAACACCTCGCGCAAAGATCAATAACGTCGACGCGCCCAAGACCAAGAGTAAGGGGCGCTCAAGTGACAAAAAACAGCCACTCGACGACGATAAGGGATCTGGATCCACTTGGGGAAGCGCGCGGGCTGCGTCCGCGACTGTCGCACCTGACCGCCGCGCGTACAAATGTCCGACACATTGTAGCGTCTGAATCGTGGTCGCGTAGGGCAAGCAAGTACGAAGCCGTCGTGGAAGATGACGTTGTCGACGACGACATTATCGATGACGTCCCGAGTGCGCCAGTGAAGCAGGCGCTAGGGCGTCCACCGGCAGTAGCGGCGTCCGTCGGTCGATCGCTGACAAGCGCCGAAGTGTCGGCTATGCGCACACTTCTCTTTGGCGAGACCAAGAAAGGCCTCACGTCGCACTGGACCGCGCAGGTATATGTTGGCTACTCTTATGGCTTCGTTTTCGCTAACAGTGCTTTGGGCCAGGGATTTCCATTTGCACCCATGCCTGGGTACGGCATTGTGCAGCACGAAGGGGGTCCATGCGGCGTCATGGCAGTTGTCCAAGCCTACACGTTGTATTTTCTCTTCCAAAACACTACACGCTGGCAAGAGGTAGCGCAATGATAAAGCCCTTTACGATGTAATCTTTATATGCTATCGTAGCCGCGCGCGGACGAGCTTCGGACCGCCCTTACCGACGCGCTAACACACATTGTGTGGCAAGCAAGCGACGGCTCTCAATGCACTATGGCCCTTCCTGGCGTATTTTGCTCCAATACAGCGTCCTAAACCTAAAGAAGGTATTGTAGGCTCAACCTACAATCGAGCACGTGCGGGTATCGTCGTCATCCTTGAATTCACGATCAGCTGCCCGCGAATTCATCGCGTCCCACATTGACGAGGTGCGTTATTTAGTGCAGTATACTGGTATGCATGAGTAGACTTACACGAAATCAGTATCTCGCCCCGCGTGGCTCTGGGGTGATTCTGCTTGTCGCGAGTGTTCTCTTGACCCGCGGCCTCACAACAATTGCTGCCGACATGGATGCCCCGGACGGAGCGACGCCGACGCTTGTGGGTGCTCATGACTATTGTACGCAAGTAAGTATAGGGTGCCGTTTGCATGGGTGTTTAAAGCCAAGTAGGAACTTGTGAATTTGCTTCTCGTCGGGTACGCGTGCAGCAACGTGTTTGATGGCACACAAGACCTCGGTGACGGCCTCACTCTGCGTGGCATTGGCCGCCAAGGTTCGATGCATATCCATTTTATCTTCACAATGGAAACGCCTAGGCCTGGTCGGCTTCCTGACGCTGTTCGAGGCTTACGACTACATGGTGGTGGGTGCATTCTTGAAGGCGCCAACGTCACCCATTTGGGTCGTTTGCAGCGAGTCACACTACTCGGTTCTGTTTGCGAATCCCGACGCAGCGACACCGCCCGCCTCGGTACGTTATCTTTTTCATAGCCTGCCGATGGAAAGCCACTCTGCAGGAGCAAACGATCGTCGAGCTTCTCTACTACGATGGACTCGCCAACCAAGACGAACCCATCCAGCTCAGCGTTTCGCCATTCGGGCTCGCTGCCCCCGAGAAGCCACGTCATGACGACAACTCGCTTACGCCGCCGTTGGACTTGGTTATCCGCACCAAGTGGCCGCGGGGCACCGTCGACTGGCATGGTACTGAGCCCCTCTTGTAGTCAAGAGGAATTCTGCTACCACTACTACATAATTTCAGAATACATTGCACACAATAGTCGGCGGTTTGTCTATCGAATGCTGGCGGCGCGTAGACCAGTCGCCGGAGGGGCCTTGGCCTTGGACGAGACAACAGCCGGCGCAAAGATGTTCCAGAAGCGCAACGTTTCGTCGGCGGCGCCAGAGACGACTGTCGTAGCGTCAGGGCCGGCTGCGAGGTGCAGGACGCGCGCAGAGTGACCCGTGAGCTCCTTCACCTTGCGCATCGCGGGGTACGACCAAAGGCAGAGTTCGTTCTGCGCGTAGCCGTGCGAACTCAAAAGCTCCTTCTCGCTCGTCGACCAGAGCAGTGCGCATACCTGCGAACCCGTGTCGGTCGACTGGAGGAGGCTTCCTGTCTGCGCGTTCCACAGCTTAATCGTGCGGTCGGCCGTGCCGCCGCCAGAGGCGAGGACGTGGCGGTCCCACGGGCACCACGCGAGCGCCTTGACGGCAGCGCAGTGGTCCGTGAGTTTGTGCATCGGAGTTGTTTGCATCTGGTTCCAGATGCAAAGCGCGTTGTCGTTGCCGCCGGATGCGAGCTTGGTACCATCGGGTGACCAGCGCAGACCACAGACCTCTTGTTCGTGGCTGTTGAGCGTCGCAACGATGTGCGACGCAACGCGGACATCGTGGTGAATGATGGATGTGTCGCGCGAGCCCGACGAGAGCACGTGGCGGTTCCACGAGAGCGCACCTACACGTGCCGAGTGGCCGTTGAGCGTCCGGAGTAGTTTGGCGTTGGTCGTGTCCCAAAGCTGCACCGTTGCGTCGCTCGAGCCAACTGCGAGCGTGTTGCCTTCTTGGATCCACGAGACGGAGCTAATGTACTCGTCGCCATCAAGCGCCATGAGCTCGTCGATGGCGCCTGTCGCAGCGTTCCAGAGGTACAGTGACGCGCCGAGCGCAACTGCGAGCACATTGTTTTTGCCCCACGATAGGAGGTTGAGGTAGTAGTCGTCCATGAGTTCGGGTGCGTCGAGAACCTTGGTCGGCGCGGACGGAATGTGGCGCGTCAGCAGTGGCTTGATCTTGGACGACGTCGCACGCTTGTTGTACATGACGTTGAGAGCACCCTTGAATGACGCAGGGTCGTCCGCTGCAGGAGGCTTGTCCTTGAAGGTAAGAATTCGATGGCCTTCAAGGTCACTCGTGCCCAGTAGCGACTTGGCCAAGCACGTTTGAAAAGTCTGCTGTGATGGACTGTCGGGCGCGGCGATCGATGCAGGCGTTGGGGTTGTCACCGAGGGTTGCGCCGCCTTCGCTTCGAACGGCGCCGTGACTTTGAGGCTCGAGACTTTCATGTCCATGGCCGACCGATTCGGAATGAAGCGATCATTCTAGGGGCAACATGACCTGCAGCTCTTTCATGACATGGAAAGAGTACCGTGATCTTCTTTCGCTTTGCCGGGGACGGCGAGACGGCTTCGACCTTCTTTTTGCGCTTCCAGCGCGGGATGACACTCGATTCGAGCGGGCCTGCCGTCATCTGCAAGAGGAGCTCCATTTCCGCCGCAGCATTCACCTGCTTCTTTGTCTTCGCTTGGTCCTTCGCCGTCGCTGGCGTTGGCTTGTTCGTCAACGAGCGACTTAGAGACCGCGGGGGCGTCCGCGCCGGCGTCAACGTCGTGGCCATGGTTGACAGCGGATTGAACACTGCTTTGAAAATTTGAACCAATCATCTTGGCATTTGTATAGTATAGAAACATCGAATCCGACCGAATCTAAGCACGGGCCAATCAGAGACGGGACAGGTTCAACCCAACTGGCTCGTCGATCCTGGCTCGACAATGGGTCGTCCATGCCGCCAGCCCACTCACCGCCAGCCTCCAGCCGGGGTCCGAGTAGACTCAAGACGGCCTGGATGAGGCTTGAGCAATGCAGTGCATGCGATTGCCGGTGGTGCGCGCTTCGGTCCTCGTGAACGAAGTATTGACTGCGACTGGGCAAGGGCAAGGGTACCAAGAATTTCCCGCGTTCTGCTGCTTCGCACTTGTCGTATCACACTGCCGCGTTGCGCCTATGAGTACTGCCAAGGGATCTTTATGGCCGTGGTATTGCTATGATAACTCTCAGTTGTGGGTACCATTCCTCGACGTCCGGTACTCGTAACCGCTAATTCATACTAACGTTAGTGCTTGCAAGCACACCCCACTGCGATAGCACTAACGTTATAGTGGGCGCATGCACGCCAGAATCATTGGTGGACGTTAGTCGCTCGTCGCCAACACGAGACTGTAATGCGACGCCTGGCGGCGGGCAAGTTATCGTTTCATGCTCAAAGTCACGTTCTTCGTCATTTGTTCCCAACACGAAGGACGATATGACCATGCACGAAGATATCTGAACGATTGTTTCGTCTAACATTGAGCTGTCAAGAGAAGCGATGTTGACGGTTCGATTGGAACACCGACAACTCCTCGCCAAGCTTTTACCAACAACAAAGCGCTGACTGAGTATGTGTCGTCCTCTAAACCGCACCATATATGTACCAGTAGTAGTGCACAATCTCCCATGACATCGCACCCAACAGAAAAGCAATGTCGTCTAGCGTTAAATCTCATAAGCAATATCGGTTGTGTACAGAATGTCCGTGGTCTTTCCATCGACAAACTGGACGCGGAAGACGTCGCGGCTCACTTGAACGTACATGAAGCCGTGAACCATATCGACGTGCACCAAGTCCGGGTTCGCCCGGGCTTGCGGTCGGAGCTCGTGAAGGTTGTAGCCGCCGGCACCAGACGTAAAGAAGCTCAACTGATCACGCTTGATGTGCTGGAGAGCGTGGTCGTGCCCGTTGAAGTACGCGTGCACCTTGTGTTTTTGCAAAAGTGGTTTGAGGTGCGAGATAAGCTCGGGCGTGTCACCGTTTCCGGCGTAGCTGTGTACGGCCCAGTGCCCGACGACGATTGTCCACAGCCGTGTGATTTGCTTGGGTGCGCTTTGGCTCAGGGTGCGCTCGAGCCATTCGTACTGAGCCGTCCGCGTCTCGGGCGACGTCTGGTCGTTCATCGTCGCTGTGCAACGAAAATCCCGGTCATTCGGCGTCTGGCCGCACACGAGGTCGCATGCGTCGAGTACGACCACACGGAGCAGCGTTGACTCGTCCACGCGTTGGTCAAACGTATAGTACCTATACATGCATTCTTTCATATCCCGGACGAGATACGCCAAGAGGTACCGCTGCGGAAACTTCCAGACGTTGTTCGTGCGCTTCGCGTAGTTTAGCATCGCATCGATGCTACCCTCGCAGTCGTGGTTGCCGATACTACAACGCAAGTGTTGTTAGACTACAATATACACCACAAAACTGCGGGCGTCTACCTGATGTACCAAGGAATCTTGAGCGACGGGTGCTTGTAGACCTAATACGAGGCACGTCAGGCGAGCCACTGGACACGACTTGCCACGTACGTTTTCAAACTTGCTGTAGATGATTGGATCGTCTGCTGAGAGCATTCTAGCGCAGCGATCAACGCGGTGTCGAAGGGGCAATGTGACGGGCACCCGTGATCGTAGATCTGGTCACCGGTAGAGAGCACGAAAGCAGCGTGGGGCTGCGTGTGGTTGACAAAGTCGGACATTGAGGCTGCAACGAGCGCCTGTGTTGCAGAGCCCGTCCCGAAGTCACCAACGACGATGAATCCGAGCGGCGCCAATGGCGGCTGGTTGAACTGCTTGAGGCGTGACGCTAGCGCCTTGGAGCGCAGCTTGAGATCGGCCGCGCGCTGGATGTCGACGCTCGTGCTTGTGATAAAGTAGCTCAAGATGTACACGCACCAAGCGACCAGCAGCCCGACGCACATCCACTGCGTCAGCTTCATGCTCATCGTGGTGTTGCTGCTTCCTGACGAGTACACTGGGCGACCGAGTCCGGATACTGATATTTCACGTGATTTGTATTTTTCACATCCTGTGGGTTGTTGTGCATTTTCTCTTTAAACCGACTGACTGTGAGGCTGAACAGCAGTGTTGCCCAAGCTACGCAGTGATTTCGTATCCCTTGCGGATGTGCTAAACTAGAGCCGGACTTTGTGTACTATCAATTTGCTTAAGCCCACCCAAATCCAACGTCCATGGCTTTGCGACAGTGATGAAGCGATAAATCGATCGGTCACTTGGATGATGCAAAACGATAGACCATCAGGAGACAAAGACTTGGATGCATAATTGTACAACTGCCAGCTACCTTAAACTTATCGCTCGTGCAATGCAGCGCTATCCCAAGGTATGGCCCCAAGCACATGCAGCAACAAGATGGATGTTCTAGTATGCTACGTGGCAGACGTTGAAGCGTGTGAAGAACATATTTTTCACATCGCGGAAAACGCTTGGTTTATCCGGTGACTTGTGGACGTCCGGATACCGTGCCAGTCGGCGACGATGGGCAATGGCATCTCGAGCCCACCGGGCGAGAAGCTCATCGGGCTGGCCAACTTCGGCAACACGTGCTACTGCAACGCTGTGCTCCAAGTACTCTACTTCTGCGAGCCATTCGAGCCGGGCTTGCGGCGCATCGCCGCCTCAAGGTAACCAACCTGCCATTGTCGGCGCACGTTATGCGATCTTTCTCGGGCTTCGTAGGGCAAGAAGGGTGAAGCGACGCTGCTCGACTGCCTCGCCGAGCTCTTTGAGAAGATATCAACGCAAAAGCGGGCGACGGGCACGGTCACGCCCAAGTCGTTTGTTGCCAAGTTGCAGCACGACAACGAGACCTTTCGCGGCCCTCTGCATCAGGTACTAGTGAACTGCGCTTTACTCTTCTTCTTCATCGCGTGCACTCCTCGGCTAGGACGCCCATGAGTTTCTCAACTATGTTGTCAACGCTATGTGCGACTTGGTCCAAGCAGAGACTGCGAACAAGACGCGAACGTGGGTCCACGATCTATTTGAGGGCACACTGACGAACGAGACGACGTGCTTGGGCTGCCATGCCGTCTCGCGCCGAGACGAGACTTTCTTGGATCTGAGCGTCGAGATCGAGCCGAATGCGTCCCTAACGTTTTGCCTGAAGCAGTTTGGTATGGTCGAGACATTGTCTGGCGACGACCAGTTCTCTTGCGACGCATGCCACAGCCGCCAGGTTCCCAACCTACATCTTCTACACAAAGACGGACGATGCGACTCTAGGACGCAGAAAAGCGGCTGTTCTTGCGAGAGACGCCACCTGTGTTGGCGCTGCACCTCAAGCGATTCAAATTCATATCCTTTTATGCTATCTGGACCATGTGCTACACTGAAGAGCTCATCCCGACTTGTTGACCTTGACCATGTGCATGTACATGGAAGCATCTCAATCGTTCGCCAAGCTATTCCATCGCGTGCTCTTCCCAGACGAGCTTCAATTGCCTTCGCGCCTCGTACAACGCGTGGTGCTGCTAAACTGCGCAATTCATGTGTGTCTGTAGATGCTATCCTCGTCAAATGAGACCTACGACCTATTTGGCATTGTCGTGCACATCGGAAATGGGCTCGATGAAGGCCATTACGTGAGCTTGATATTGTGGAAGACGCAATGGCTTCTCTTTGACGACGACCACGTTTCAGTGCGTACATCTTTCTGAATGAGACTCGAGAGGTCATTGCGAATACTGGGATTCTAGAAAGTCGACGAAGGCATGCTTGATGTGTGCTACGGCGACGGCAACGTAGGTTCTGAATGTAGTATGGGATCAAGCGTATCGTATCTGCTAGGCGGCAACATCCAGTGCAACGGGATACCTCCTCTTCTACAAGCGGCGATAGACAGCGACGACAGTCAACGCAACCTCCGTGTTGTTGTCATATACTACAGTAACTTGGACACGTGGCTTACGACGACTTTTCCATGAGATGGATCGGCTTGAGGATCGAAACCTTGTTGGTCTCGACGATGCAACCATTCATGATCATCTCGTCTAAGATGAAGTGGGCCTTCTCGAGGTTGAACATGATCTACAAACATGGATGGCGAGGTGAGGTTGTGGTGAGGTGGCACGTGGCGTACATCAAGCTCGCAGACGCTTTCAAAGTACTTGTCCATCGTCTCGACGAGGGCGTGAATGAATTCGAGCACGCCGAGCTCGTTGTCCGAGTCGTCGTTGTTGACGCCGACGATGAAGAAGAGCGACGCGTACCGGCGGTAGATGACCTTGTACCCGCGGTACTCGACGAACGAGCACTGGTTCTCGTTGCGGCCCAAGCACTTGCGGATGATCTCGGCCTCCAGCGCGACGCGCTCGGCGATCGGGAGGAAGTCGACGTACTGTGCCAGGCGCGTCTGGCCTTGCTTGTTGACCATGAGCACGAACTTGATCATGTTGTCGTCGGCTTTTTGCAAATGGGGCGCCGACGGCCACGGGCCGGATAAACCTCTATAATATGATGCACCAGAAGATCCGAAGATTTGGTCTGAGAGGGACTTTAACCCCAGGACAACTCACGAGTATTATTATCGAGTCGAACAAGAGCGGAGTTTGCTGGTGGAGTGAAGATGAGCCCAATGGAGGCCATCTCACGTCAATCAGTCAAGGTAAGATATGGTCCTACTTCACGCCATACTACTACCCTAGGGGTAGATGCTGGACGAACGCAGACTCCTAAACGCAGTACAACGGGAACTATTGATGGCGTTGGTGGGCATGCATAATAATACTCGTTCAAGCGGTGATAGCTGCATGATGTGATTTATGTCTACCCACATGCTCTTTATTGCGCTGCTGCTGTTTATCGACAAACGGTTGCACCAAACTATCGTTGGTGCCAGCGTTGGTGCCGTGGCAACGATAAGACGTAGTTTACCCTATATTGCGTTAAAGCGTTTAACGCTGATGTAATAAAAACAACCGACGGATGGTTAGATAAATTGCGACCAAAATTCAAGCTCGGCGAAAAGCTGCTCTGCGCTCAGTTCCGTTTTAGCTGCCCAGCGCACAGTCGCCATGCGCCAGTCACTGCGCCAACGAGCCAAGCCCGCAGGTCGGTCGGAGCAGCTCGGGAAGCTCCTGCGGGCGCGAGATGCAGCTGCTCGCGGAGAGAAGATCCTAAAGGATGATGACGACGATTGGTCACCCGAAGACGGCGAAGCGTCGGATGACGAAGACGACGCCATAGAGGACAGCGATGACAGCGATGACGACGTGCTGCCCAAGACAAAGCCTCTCGCTCGACGCAAGCGCCCGATATCAGCAGTCCCAACGGCAACGATCAACCCGACCGCTTCCAAGCAAGCGGCACCGCGGGACCCTCGTCAACGACGGACCCTCAACCCACCGTCGGTGGAAGCTGAGGTCGCACGGAAGCTCCTGGAACTTCAGTCCAAGGTTCCGCCCGTGAAGTCGATCTTGAAGAAGGACCGGCGACAGATCCAGGTGCTCGATGAGGAGCCCGTTCAGGCCGTCACGGCGGCGCCCGCCCCCGTTGTCGTACACAAGCGACCGAACCGCAACAAGACCGACCGTGTTGGGGCCATACTTGGCCCCAAGTCAGCCACGTTTGGCGTCGAGACGAAGTACGCCACCTCGACGCTCGCGCAGTTTTACGATGAAATTCTGGACTGGGACTTTGGCGAGGCTGTGCTGAAAGACCAAAAACCGCTCTCGGAGGCGCCGCCGACCGAGAACGTCCAGGTACCGAGCAAGTTTGAGTCGTACCAGCACTACTTTAGCGTCTGGAAGCCGTTGGCAGTCCAGGAAGTGCAGGCCCAGGCGCTCAACGGCCTCTCATCCGATCTCCCACCGGCGCTCCCGATCGTGTGCACGCCCCACGCCAGTATTGGATCGACCACGGTCAAAGTCGCGGCATCCTTCAACAAGGCTTACACGGGCCACGACAAGCGGAAGCGCCAGCACGACGTTGCCGACATTCGAAAAGACGATCTCATCGTCGTCTCGGAAGACCCAAAGTTTCTCGCGTCGCGCGTACACGGCAAGGACGGATCGGGGTTGCTCGGCGTTCTGGGCGTCGTAGAGTCCCAGCAAGCCTCCCGGTACTGCCGCTCTTTCTTTTCCCGAATGTTTCTGACACTTGGCGTAGAGAAGGCCTTGTATTTGTCTCGACCTCGGCGCGCTGGCGCAGGTTGCGCTGGGACGCCTCCAAGACGCTGTACCTTTTCAAAGTGAACAGCCTCGTGACGAGCCTACGTGAGTTCCGCGCGCTGTGCGAGTGTCGTGACTACAAGCTGATGCAGCTGCTTTTGTCGGGCGAGTCCGTCGCGAGCTCGATGCGCCTCGACACGCTCGGCCTTGGCTACGTGCAGTGGCTACGCAACTCGTTCAACGAATCTCAGCAAGAGGCGATCACTGCCGCGGCAACGTCTCAAGGCTTTACGCTCATCAAGGGCCCGCCGGGAACGGGCAAGACGACGACACTCAAGGGTCTCCTGAACTCGTTACATCTGCGCGAGTACAACCGTTATTACAATGCAGTGCTCGATGTCGCACGGCGTCCCGACAAGGACACGTACGCTGCTTGGAAACGCATTGGCAGCGAAAAGCCCCATATTCTCGTATGGTGTTTTTGGCTCTGCGATATGCATGACACTAATATTGCTTTAGGTGGCGGCGCCGTCCAACATTGCAGTCGACAACATCGTGGGCAAGATTATCGAAGAAGGCTTCTGCGATGGCGAGGGGCGGCGCTACTTTCCGCAGATCGTCCGCGTTGGCCGAGGCGTGGTGCGCTTTTCTCGATTTACCGTTTTGTATGGGTCCTCATCATACGCTGCATAGACTGCGAACGTCAAGAGCGTGTCCTTGGACGGGATGGTCGAATCTATCTCCTCGCAGCCGCTCGAAATTGTCGAAATGCGCGTTGGCCAGCTCACGCACGAGCTTCGCATTGTACGCCGTCGAGACTCCAAGTGTATATTCTAATTTCTTGTTTTAGGTGGAAGCTGACGCGGCTGTGCTGCGACAAGAGCTGCGCAACGTCATTGCATGGATCCACGGTATCATCGAAACGAACGTCCGTGGCGTGCCCGAGTCGCCACCTCCGCCCCCGCCCATGACTCCACCTCCACCGTCGTCGCCGGTAGAGATGCCCGGGACACCGCCGCCACCGCCACCGACGGAGGAATACGGCCCACCACCAATCGTTTCGCCACCGCGACCGATGCTCGACATGCAGGTGGGACCTCCACCCACGTCACCACCGCGCCAACTGCAGTTTGACGGCCCACCACCAATTTTTGAGCATGCTGCTTCGTTTACGACGCTGGACGACGAAGGCACGACGACGACCAAGGCCGCATTTGTGACGTACAACTCGGATGACGACGACGACGCTGTGCCTTTTTCAGCCGATGGCGCACCAATGTACACGCTCTCGGAAGATGAAGAGGACGAGCCGCTGCCGGTCGCGACGTCGGCATGCTCCACGGCCATTGACGACGACGAAGTCGACGAGCCGTTACCGCAAGTGGCTGCCGAATGCATTCCAGAAGCTACGGATATCGATATGATGGCCGACATGTCCAAAGACGATGACGATGAAGTCGACGAGCCGCTGCCTGTGCCACCCCCGACGCCGCCACGAGGATCACCGCCTCCGCCGCCCACAGAGTCCCCACCGCCGCCACCGTCGATGTCCGACGTCCCACTCGTCATCGACTACAACAGCTACAAGCCGTACAAGGACATCGCGCAGCGCATCAACTTGTGCCTCGAACGCGCCAATACGGTACATTCTAGAGGCTTGTGACGCGTTCTCATCCGACATAGCTTCGGCTCGAGTGGCAGCGCTACAGCATCGTTCGCCAGGCTCTACAGAACAACAAGCGTGTGCCCAAGGAGACTCAAGAACAGCTTGAGAGCTCGTTTCTCGAGTCGGCGCATATTGTGTTTACGACGCTCAGCTCCGCCGGGCACCGCGCCCTCGACGACTCGAACCGCTACGACATTCTCGTCATCGACGAAGCTGCGCAAGCTGTCGAGCTGTCGACGATCATTCCGATGCGGTACTGCTACTTTCATTAGTTTCAGGAGGAATTCACTTAATTGTGCGTAGATTTGGCAGCAAGCAATGTGTGCTGGTCGGCGATCCACAGCAGCTGTCGGCAACTGTCTTTTCGCGCACGAGCGCACAGTCCCTTTACGAGCGGTCGCTCTTCGAGCGCCTCGAGAGTTGTGGTCACCCGGTGCATATGCTCCGCACGCAGTACCGCAGTCACCCAACGATCTCGGCGTTTCCACGGGCGTACTTTTACGGCGGCCTCCTCCAGGATGGCGACAACGTCAAGACACCCGCGTACATCAAGCCATATCACTCGCTCGCGCCGGCGTTTTTACCGCTCGTCTTTTGGAACATTGTGAGCAGCCGTGAGTCGGCAGGCCCGTCGTCGCGTTCCAACCAGATGGAAATCGAACTTGCCGTCAACTTGTACCTCACGCTCCGGAACGCATGCCCACCGGACGCGATCCGTGGCAAGGTCGGCGTCATTACACCCTACGCGTTCCAAATGGAGGAGCTCAAGAAGGCCTTTGCGCGCGCGTGCGGTGGCGATTATGCGCACGATGTCGAGATCAACACGGTCGACGGGTACCAAGGCCGAGAGAAGGACATTATCATTCGTACTATCCTCTTGATGCGAAATACTGCTACTCATCAAGCGATGCTATGTAGTGTCGACGGTGCGCGCGGACCCAAGAAAAGGCGTTGGGTTCCTCAGCGACATTCGGCGCATGAACGTGGCGCTGACGCGAGCCAAGTTTGCGTGTTACGTCATCGGAAGCGAAGCGACGCTCAAGTCGTCCAAGCCCTGGCGGGCGCTGCTCGACCACACGAGAAGTGCACAATGCATGGTGCACGTGACGAACCCACAGGAAAATTTGTTGCAACTACGCCCTGGTGGCGATCCGCCCCGTCGACCCGCGGCCTTTGGCGGACGAGGCCGTGGCCGCGGGCGGTTCCAGCACGCCTAGAGCCTAGATAGACGCGTAGCATAGAGACTTATGATTGCCCTCGATGTATAAAATTCGAATTGAGAGTGTGTTTCCAGAAAACCACTCTTCACTGATGTTCCACTCCGGTGCGGTCTGTGGCGTTCAGTGTTGGTACCAACGGCCGAAACGAACGCGATGACGAAGCGGCTCTTCCTGGACACGGTGCGGCACATCTTGCGCGAGCTCTTCGAGCCGCTGGACGAAGCGTCCGTCGACGTCTCGGTGCTTGGCGATCTATTCGACGAGAGCCACCTGCGCTTTGAGTATCTCTTTGTGAAGCTCGACGTCTTTAACGCTCTTCCATGGCCGTTCAAGGTTCAAACGGCGTACATTGGCCAGGTGCACGTCCAGGTATTCATTCTCACAACAATATTGGTCGTGCGTAATGGTGCCCAGGGCATGCTGGGGGCTGTGGCGGGTGCCCCCATGACGCTTCGGGTGCGTGATGTGCACATTGTCCTGAGCGCCAAAGACGTCGACTGGACTGACGTTGACGGCCTCCGTGTGGCTAATGAGCTCTACGTGGCGCTCATGCACCGTCTCTGGAACCGCCACCACATGGAGGTACGCGTATGGCCATAACACGATGTCACGCATGTCCGCACGTAGGGTAGCGGCGCCAAGAAAACCGAGTCGGTCAAAATGTGGCTCAAGGTCGCCACCGCATATTGAAGTGTACATGGCAGTCATCGTTAATATAGCGCCGCATCTACGCGACGCTCGACCACATGACAATCAAGGTCGAAAACATTCACATACGAATCGAGGTAGGTGCTCCGACGACACATCCAAATGCAGTACTACTCTTGCGGTGCAGGTGCCGTCGCCGCCGCCGACCCTCGAGACGCACGTTTTGGGACTCCTCATTCCCGTACGCACACACCCCAAACCAGAATTGACCTGGCACACTAGACGTTTTCGGTGACGTCGTGTGAGTCCGACTGTCACATCTTGCACCGACGCGACGTGCCCCCGGCGCTGCATCCGACAACACCTGTCGTCTCCAAGGTCCTCATGCTGGACCGCATCACGCTGTACTCGGCCATTAGCGCAACAGTTCCCGGAAGCTTGTCCTCGGCCCAATGGCGGGACCAGTTTGCGTATGTGTGGCCCGCTGAGGCTCGCGAACCCCTTCTGCACCCTGTTCGCGTCCAGATAAAGGTAGACTGGGCCCAAGAAGCAGACGGTACAGCCAAGTACAAGATACGCGCCGTCGACATTGCAATTAGCCATCTTGACGTGACGCTGAAGCCGGCGCAGGTAGCTAGTAGCTACACACGATGGCAGAAAAATCAATACCCTTGCCCTTAGGTCGCACTGCTCTTGCAGCTATGTTCGCACGTCGACACGTTCCAGCGATACGTGCGGTACCAACGCCTCAAGCCGTACGGCCCCGATCGACGCCCGTCGCTATTGTCGCTACCGGCGTTTGTGTTTTTGCCGCACTGGACGCCGCCAGCTTCACAAGACATCAAAACGCACCACAAACTATCCGCGAGAGCGCGCTGGCAGTTTGCCTTGCGCTGCGTGCTTGCCGACTTGTACCCGCGCCGTGACACGCTCTGGCTGAGCCCGGTTATTCTCATGTACACAGACCTGTATAAGCGCCAGGCATCGCCAGCTTACGTCGCGCATATCACGAAGAGTTTGGTAGAAGACGGCAAAGCGAACACGCTCCCCAAGGTTGACATATCCTATACACCAACACTAGGTAGCATGTGATTTACGTGTAGTATGAGCCCTTGTCGCCACACGAGGCCGATATGCTCTCCGACTACATCTACAAGGTGCGCTAGATGCTAAACAACGTGTGCGCGAATCAGTGCATTTACGCTCTACAGATTGCGTTGGACCACCAGTTGCTGTGCCGTGCCGTGTGCGATCGTGTCATCCGACAAGACTTTTCCCGCTTGAACGATGCGCCGCACGCACCGCTTCTCAAGGTATAGGTTAATACCGACACATGCAGGTTGATGGACCATCCGACACAGCGCCGGAGCCTCCTTCGCCTCGGCAGTGCACAGGACCTCACGAGTGCGCGCGGGTGGAAGTCGCTCTCGAATGTCGAAGATTTTCTCTTTGGCCAAGCTGCGCTCGGCGTGCATGTACCCCGGGTCAAGGCGCGCGATGAGCCACCGCATCCCGTGCCGGCCTTCTTCCGCGTGCCCCGGCCTATGCTGCACTTTGCGGTCGCCTCCATGCGAGTGAGCATCCAGGACGAGACGCAATCAGACGTGTGGGTCGCAACGACAGGATCCATTGCCGCCGTGAGCATTGTCGCGGCAGAATACGTCCTCCTCGAGCTTCGGCTTGGTAAGCTTGGCCTCTCGATTTCGTCAAGCCGGGGCACCCTCCCCGTACGAGTGCTTCATATTTCATGACGTTATGCAGTGTCGTTAGCTGCCCGTTGCAAGCATTGCGTACATCCACGACGAGGCCGATGGCTGCATCTACATTGGAGTGCGTTACGACCCATGCTCGGTGCGTACTTGGCGCTTGTGTGTGGCACTGAAGTCTCTACTCGAGTAGATGACGGCTTTGGCGACTAAGTACGCTTGGAAGGTCAAGTGCATGCTCGGGAAAGTCAAGGCATTGTTTCAACGAGCGACATGGATCGAATGCGCGCATCGCTCATGCAGCGTACGTCGTTCCTATAGAGAACTACTTGTCAATGGTTGGCATGTTCAGCCCAGGGCTCGATGCTGTCCTTGCTTCGGCGTGAATTCAAGCATTCGTTCAAGCGCCCCGCGTGTTTGGGGACGAAGTCGCCGACAGCTCCAGCAACGACCATGAAGGATCGCATGAAACAGGGCCTCGAGGCGCTTTTGCAGGCAACGACGCTTGTCGAGATCGCCGTCGGCGGGCTTGATGCGACCATGAGCTTGACGGCGCTTGCTTGGCTCCAAGCCTCCGATGACATTTCTGTACCGGACGGAGGCGCGAAGGAGCGCGCACACGTGTTTGTGCCACCTCACGCGCTCTCGCTTTCAAACGACATGGACACCAACGAGTGCGTCGTGGATCTTCTACACCATCGTGTGACGTTTTCGGGCTCACCAACCGGCCACCGAGCTGCGATTGCATACCTCTTGCGCTCCATGTTTTAATCCATGCATTGCCGCCATTCTTGGCAGAAGAAGTCACATGCCGATTTGCCCCATTCTTTGGTGTCCATATTGCATGATTATGCGTAAGCTATGCCCAACTCACGACTCGCACGGATGTGAATCACACTTGCCCAGTGGAAAGAAAAGCTCGCTCGTGTAGCACGCTGTGGTATCCGTCGCTACGTTGCACAGCAGCTACCTCAATCTGTTCGAACTTGTGTGAACATCGCAAGAAAGGGCTCGCCGACAGCACTTCATAGACGCGTGGATAGGTGCTGGATTTTCAGCGCAAATTCTTTAACCCTCCCAGACCCAAAGGCAGTCATAAACTTGAATATTTGTATGTCAGTTAGCTTTGTCCAAGTAGTCGGTCAAGAACCGGTGGTCGTGCAACGTTGCGTCGAAGCACGCTTGCATGAGTCTCGATTGTCGGAAGCGCCGCAGTGCACTGGGCGACGAGCCGCTCAATGTCGTCTAGCGACTGCACCGGCATTGCTGCTGGCGATGACTGGATAAGGTCGGGCGCCGACTCGGCGCGCTGGTTCATGCCACGAAGGCTCTGGATATGAAGTGGGCCAAGGTACGGACTTCGTGCAATCGGCTCAGACCGTCGGAATTTGGGCGCGAACGCCGGCGTGAGAAGGCTTAGGTCGGAGACAACCACCTGCGATGACTCAAGCTTTCGGACTTTATCGGGGCTACGCTCGCGTCGATGGAGACCCGTGCCAGCTACACAGACGTGTTGTTCAGTCGCATTGGCTTGTCGTACCAACAGCGACGGCGACGGAGAAGGACGATGGTGCTGAAGACAACGACGTCCGACGCGAGGACAGCGTCGGTAAAGAGGCCTTATGTTCGCTTCGGCGATTTGTGCGAGTTTGGCGTCGCTGCGTAATCTTCTCTTGTGCCATTTCTGCTCCAACGCGAAGACCCTGGACCTGGCGCAGTGTTGTCGTCAAGCACGTGACGTAGTCGGGAAGCTTCTCAGTTTCCACGATCTACTTGTGATGTTGGGAAACATCCACACGTGGCGCAAGTACCATGTGGGCGAGAAGGAAAATGAGTCGTTGAAAGTCACACATTGCGAGCGGTGAAAGCTTTCCACTCCATTGGATCCACGGTCGGTGCATAAGCGTTCGCACTGCGCTCTTGTGCAAATTAGGCTTCTTGCACCGAATAAGCACCGTTGCAAGCGACTCGTAAAGGCTGCTGAGCTACATGCACCGTGAACATGTTGGCGACCACGTTATGGCGCAGTGCAGTACCTTGGCTACAGAGATAGTAGGGTTGCCGTGGGCAGCATATGTCCACCTACAGAGGTTCGTTTCGCCGCAACTTTGTTTCCATGGTGACGCCGCACCACTCGAGGAGGCAGCGCTCGATGGACGGCATGCGCATAAGGAACTCGATTTGCAGCTCCGACTCGGCAACAAACTGAATAAGCTCGTTCGGGTCCGTAGACCGCGCAGCAGAGCTCTTGACGAAGGGTGAGTTGGAGTCGTGGACTGTTGGCGGTTTGGCGGCCTCCTGATCTTTCCACCACGAGTCCAGAAGCCGCACTGTTGACACGAAGTGGGCCATCGAGTCGCGCACGGGAACACCCTCGGGCTTGGCAAACCGGCGTCGAACCGGCTTCGCCACCTCGGCCATACACGAGCTTTATGACCGTATTGATATATAAATAGTACTTCGCATGGATGCAACTTGTAGCCAACGTGTTTGGACGAGCAGCACCTTGGAAAATACTGGAAAATACTCAAGGGTGTTGATTTGCTTCGACTAAATCATCGACTAAACATTCGACTAAATATTGGCCAACTTCAACTGACGCAGTCGATAATATAATATTTTATCATTGCGCTCTGAACTTGTTTTATGTATGTGAAATAAAACATGCATATTATCACGCAGAAGATTGCTGAGTTTCGGAATCAGGACCAGCATGAGCAGCTTCGTGACGAGCATGCTCGCGACGGCCGCGACCGCCTCCGCAGCCGACGAGAAAGCGCGCCGACTCTTCACGCCCCACGTGTTGGCAACACTGACAAGCATCACGCAGCGCCAGCCGGCATCACCGGCGCGGGAGGCCAGTGGCTGGGACTTTGAGCACAAGATGGCAGCGCTCTTGGACCTCCAGGACGCACTTGAGGCCGCAACGTTCAACTACAAGGACTTTGGCGACTTACCACCCATGTCACGGAAGCCACTCGCTCTCTTGACGCTCGTGCAAGGCCAAGATGCCCTCCTCGACCTCTGGGCTTTCTTTTTAGAGATGTGCGACGTCGTGCCAGCGCGGACAGGTGCGCGCGGCCTGCTCCTCCGTCTTGCAGGCTGCATGTGTCGGCGACTCGAATTTACGGAGCACGTGTCACTACACGGCGCCACGCTTGAGATGGAGCCCTCCGGTACGTTGAGCGCACCTGGCCAACTTCGATCGCACAGAACTCTCTCTTGTAGTGAAGACGCGCATCCAAGGCCTGCTGCTCACGAGTCTCCAGTATTGCGGGAACAAGCTAGAAAAGAGTCGCATCTTGACGCAGGACCACGCGTACTTTGCCTCCCACGTGTACACGGCAGCCATCTACAGATTCCCCGTTCATGTCGGTCAGCCCATCCTGCGCGCCATTGCAGCGTACACCACGCAGTTGGCGACGTTACCCACACCAGGATTCAAAAAGACGCCGTCCAAGGGTACCTCAATGCCAACAAATCTCGACGCAACGGTATGGCTCTGCGCTGTTGTCGGTACGTTTTGTACCTATGCGGCATCGACATTACTGTATCGTGTAGACACTACTACGCGCACCGAGAAGGCTAGCGAGCAAAGCAATCATTGCCGTGCAGATGGCTCTGATCAATCGACATCAGTTGATGCAACCATTGCCGCCTACGACATGTACACGCTGCATTGCCCGCGCCGGGAGCATGAGTCACAGCGCATTCTGTCGACCGTGCGTGAGACCCTCGACAACGCCCTCGCAGCAGTACTGCACTTGTCTCGCGATGTTGCGTCTCTTGAGCACCTTGTATGTGCTTAGGCTACGGGTGATGGCCATGCATTCATCCGCGCCTGTCCGCAGCTGCACACAGCCGTCTTCTCTGAAGCTGCGCTGTGGACCGACCGCCCGCTAGATGCCGCCGTGATCTCGGCCGCGACAACACCGTTCCTGGACCGCCTCGCGACGCCGACGCGTGATTCAATTCTCTGTGCAGCATTCCTCTCGACCTTTGTTGAAGACTCGGTCATTTGGAGCTCGGTCTTGGCGCCATCGATTGTCTGGCGCTGCTTGCCAGGCTATGACGTCATCATCCATGCGTTCGTTCAAGTGTTTTGCAAGGTGGCGGGGCGCCGGAAGAAGGCGTCGACGGCGCTCTTTCCTCCTCCACCGCAGCCCAAGTCCCCCTACCGCGGTACTTTAGCGTCAACCGCTACCAAATCGGTCGTGGATCCATGGGCCCCGTACTGGGCTCCAAACGAACTCGAGCCCATATACGATGGGCTCGGTGACATTCTTGGCAACGACGCCCTCCTTAACGTCTTCGTGCAGGTACTATTTATCTTCATATTTTGTATATTGTTTACTTACGCTGTTGCGCTAGATTGTGCTGGAGGGCATTAACCTGTACGACCCACAAAGCGTCGACTATGGCTTCAACTTGCTTCAGCGCGTGCTCGAGGCATCCGCATACAACCACCGGGCATCCAGCGTCGATGACCGAGGCCAGCTCCCCGAGTCGCTGGACATCGTCGTGTACATGGACGCGCTCCGGTCCGCGCTCGCGTCGAGCCATTTCCAGATCTTGCTCAAGGTGCTCGCCTTCTTTTACGCCACAATTGGTAATCCACGCCGATCATCAGTGTTGATTTCTATGTCGAGTCATCGTGGATGCCGTTCATAGATCTCTTTGATCCGACCCGTCGGCGCCGCGTCGTCTCGGAGCTGCTCCTTCACGACCACTTTTTCCAGCTCTTTCTCCACTGGAACGAAGAGGTTCGGCGCATGTACGCACACGTGCTCGTATACAAGCTCTTTAAGTCGCACCGCTTTGACCTGCCGCTCGTCTCGGACCGCGTGTTGTTAGCTCCGAGCCCTTTCTTCCGTCTCTACAATGCACCGACACCGACGTTTCTTGCGGGTCTGGCGCATCTTCTGGGGCCGCAGAAGGTGCAGACGACGACGTTCATCCGCCCACCCGACCACGGCGCTGCGTTGGAGCGTCTACTTGTGTGGGACACGTCGGCGACGCTGCGCCAGGCCACGAAGCAAGACCAGCTCTTTCGTGACAGTCTCGCCGACGACGCACTGATGCTCGACTTGTCGATCGCTAGCAAGCTCGACGCGCTTCTCAAGATGGTCGCGGAGCAGGTCGGTGGTGTCGGTGCCGGGTACTACCCAGCGCCACTCATGAGCTACGCGAAGAAAGCTGTGAGCCAGTACGTCGGGCTCCTCTGGGGCTACTACCAATCAGCCTTCGAGGACCCGGTCCACCGCTGTCCGAACGCGCCGGACCTTGAGTTTACGGTGCAAAACTTTTTTGGTGCCGATTAGGGCTGTAGTTACACTCTTCTCTTGATGAAGCGAGGCGTCCGCTGAATTGATTGCATGTCCATAGTTTGTATGTTCCCAAGGCACCTCACGCACAGGAAGATGCCCATACCGTGCTAAGTGGGCGTCACATTGAACGTCGCTTGCAACACCTCGGCATCAAAACACCATACCGTATCGTTCGAGCAATTATTTTCGATGATTGTGGCGATCACTGGCCACTCACTGTGCGCAGCATTAGCTTCGGATCGAACAATTCGAGACCTTCTGAAGTTCCATCCCTACCCCGTATCTCGGCCGCCCAAAAAGGGTACTACTTTTACAGGGCACTAGTTTGTATTCGTCGGGATGGCGCAGAGACCAACACCAATTGACACTTCAACGAGTGCGTCGGGCGAGCCGCCGAAACTAAGCCCGAGCCAGCGCGCTGCAGCTGCGATTGGCGAGGCTGCGACGTTTATCGTGGAGGGCGTCACCGAGTTCAAGGACGCGGCGGTCGGCGCTTTTCGCACGGGTAACATGCTGGACAGCAGCGACGTTAAAGTTGACGTTGCGACAAGTCCCCTCCACGAGCTCTTTGAGCGCGGAAAGCAAACATTCGAGCGGCACTTCTCCAAGTTCAAGCGCGAGTCCACGGGTGCGACGGACGCAACAGACGACGACGGGAACGACTACTACTCGGACTCGGACGACGGCGACTGGTGGGACGAAATTCTCGATCTCCCCAAGCACGACATCCTCCAGTCGCATCGTGAGAAGCCGTGGCACGAGGTGCCGCTGCCGGTATTGCGGAGGCTCGAGCTCGAAGTGCTTTTTTGCTGCCGACCGTCTCGGTCAAGACCAAGTTGTACATCATCTTGACGGGTCCCGTAGTCTCGATGCTCGAGGTGGCTGCTGAGTGGGCGCTTGCAGCTGGGGTTCTTTTTCTCTACATGGCCCTCGTCGTCTTCGGCTCCATGGTTTACCTCGGCGCACTCCTCACCGGGTCGCTTGCTACTGTCGAGAAGCTACCACTGGGTGAGAAGATCCGCTTCGAGTACACAGCGTACAAGATGTTTTTGCATCTCGAGGTCGAGGAGGCGATGCAGTTTCGCGTGCGTGCGCCTCGGATTCGCGCGCTCGTGGCCCACGACGCGACGCGCGAGGCGAAGCAAAAGCTGATGAGTGTCCTCGTCTCGACGGAAATCAACGCCATCCAAGCCAATATCGCGGGTAGCATCAACTACACGGAGCAGTGCGCCAGAATCTCGCTCGGGTCTGTTGTCGTTGCCGCACTCATCTACGTCGTGGCGGCCTCAGATCAGTTTTTTACGACGCACCTTGACTTTGCCAACATGAATACCAAGACCTTTGACGCTCTCGCCATTATCCTCCCGTACCTCCTCAACGAAGAGCTCAGCGTGATGCTCTCGCGCATGACGCTCGTCATCTCCTGGTTTGGCATCTTTCGGCATGAAAACTCAATTATGCACTTTTTCGAGCACAAGTTTTTGGCCACCGACACCCGCGTCGAGCACGCTACGCGAACGGAGGTCGTCAACAACGCCGAAAAGATGTGCAAGGACATTGGCGTCGGCGCCGTCGACATGAGCAGCGTTGCATCCTTACTCACGGCTGTGTGGACGATCAACTTTTTGTACCAAAGCTACTACGTCGACACCAAAGGGTCCGGTGGCGCTCCGGGTCCCGCGGGTCTCGCTGACACGATGTTTTGGGGCATGGTGCTTTATTCGTTCACGATCATCATCCTGAGCTACCTCCCGTTTTCGTCGTGGTACTGCCCCGTTGTGCTGAGAGGTAACGCAACTGAATTTGTAGGGTGGGCGGAGTTCCGGTCCAGGACGAAAAGTACCAAGCAATGCTGTCGAGCTGCCGGAGCTTCTTACTCATGGACCGACTTTCAGTGCTCCAACTCCACATCTCGGATGCTGTTCGAGACGCGCAGCATCATGCATCGGAGACACTGGTCTCACACGAAGAGAAGAGGTTGATTCGTCAGCTCCGTGGCGAGATCATCAAGCACCTCGATGCGTCATCGTTCGTGTCATATGTGCTCTATTCGGTGAGCCTCGCGGTCGTTCGTCTCGGCGAGGAGCGTATCGAAAAGCTGGACAAGATTGAGCCGCTGCGCGCGCGCGTGACGTACAAGTACTGCTCCAAGCTGCTCATTCCATTGGAAAAATTCGAGGAAACGGAAGTCGCGATGGCTGCTCTTGTGCAAGCCGGTGTGAAGACGTGCGACAGCGGCGATGACGAGGAAACCTTGCGCGCATCGGAGGCCGGCGGCCTCATCAATCTCTACAACGCGCGTGATGGCGCTGTCATCAGCTCTCTGTTCGAGTTTGAAGTGCTCGACACGAAGGTCCAGCACGCCTTTATGGATAAGGGTGTCGTGTCGCTCTCAAGCCTCATTGAAAATCCCCTCGTCCGAGATGCGCAGGTGTACTGGAACCCACAGCTCAACCACGTTGTCCTCGGCCTCGAGATCAAGGTCATGGAAGATTATACGGCCAAGAACGCCCACGATCGCATTGTGTTCGCGAGCCTCTACCTTGCCGCCAACACGACGCGTGAGAGCAAGTACGAGATTGGTCACGGTGGCATCTATATCAAGAGCGACATGCTGAGCCGCAAGGACATTTCACTCGGTCCCGTGGATGGCCCTGTGACCGTCTACCAAAAGGTGTGAACAAACACCGGAAAGGATCTCAACAACAATGACTAGGTACCGGGTCGCGCGCGGTCTCGATTTCTCAACCGATGCTTCCTCGCCGCGACGGACGACCACGAATCGTGCTACCACCCGGACGTTGTCTTTGGCGGCGCCGCTCCTCGTAAAGGCACGTTCGTCCAGCGTCGACCGAGCGCCATGGGGTACCCAACGATGTCCGTCTCGCGAACGGGCAGTGCATCACACATGACGGGCGATCGCTACAACTCGGCCAAGCTCTCGGCCACGGCCAAGATTTTTACGGGCGGCAGTCGCACGAACAGCGGCAACATGCAAGAGCGCACGGTCAGTGTCAAGGTGGATGTACCGCGCACGACGAGCTTCCCGACTCCGGTCGTCACCAGCAGTCGTACGGGAAGCCTTCGCGCACCCGCTCTGGACGGGCGTGGCGGAAGCTTTCCCGCACCTGTAAGCGACATGCGCACCGCGAGCACGCTTAGCAACGAACGCTACGCCAGCAACAGCTTGATTAACGAGAGTAGCGGCTAATTTCGTATAAAGAGACGAACAGCGGGGTGCAATATGACTCAATCCTCGAGAAGCGTAACAGTTGCGTCAGTCTGGGCGCGGTGCATGGCATCGCAATAGTTCGTCCAGCTCACGGCAATGGCCTGGAGCTCCTCGCCCTACCAGCAGTGAAGCACGCCATGACTACCGACAAGCCCAGTTGCAGTGACATACGACATCGTTGAGGCGGTCGAGGTTCTGGTTGAGTGTTTGGAGGCCCGTATGTACGTCGCGCATCTGCTGCTAGCGTGCATGAAGCAAACGCCACGGGCGACATGGCGCACTACCTCGAGGATGGCGTCTTCAAGCTTCTCCTTCTCGGCCTTGAACGCTGCACTCATCAACTCGCTTTGCGCTGTATTACAGTACTTCCGTGGTGTTTCTGAGAACACTATATACATTACCACGTCCAAAATATAGAGTAGCGTTAGTACCTTCGTAAGTAGATCCTGGAGGTCAAGACGTGCGAAATCGATAGACCTGACATGCAGTAGATTTATTTCGTCTGCCAGGTCAGCTTCATACAGCCCAGCGTGCAGGCCATCCCATGGGCTGCACGAAGCTGACCCTGGCAGACAAACTATACACTATTTCTGCGTCTATATGGGCGACTCGGTGATTGGGTACGTTCGAGCCAATGAATGGGCAGTTCGACATCGCAGAGAGCATGGCCGACGACGATCGACGCTTCATGGCCGAAGCACTCGCTGAGGTATACAGACGCATGCGTCCACTACGCGCGCGATTTGGCGGACTGCGCTTGTAGGGCGAGAGGGCGCTGGAGCGCGGCGAAGTACCCGTCGGGTGCGTTTTTGTCCTTGGCGACCGCATCATCGGTCGAGGTGGCAACCGCACCAACGAGCTCTTCAACGTACGACACGACAAAGTCATAGCTCCTAATCACGTGACGCAGGCGCAAAGCATGCAGAGCTCGTCGCCATCGAGGCAATTCTCGATGCCGGTCATTCGTCCGAGGTGTTCCGTGACTGCAGACTGTACGCAACACTCACCATAGCTGCTTACACGACGTCTAAATTCGTGATAGGTATGTAACCTGTGAGCCGTGCATTATGTGCGCAGCGGCTTTGGCACTTGTGCAGGTCCAAAGTGTTGTCTTTGGGTGTCACAACGACCGGTTTGGCGGCAACGGCTCCATCTACGCCCTCCACACCCCCAAGTAGCATACAGGCTTCTGTCTCGCTTCCATTATCCTCACCCTGACCTGCTTAGCGCCCTGCCGCACGAGACACACCTTGGGTACCCTATCACAACTGGAGTCATGAAGGACGAAGCGGTTGCTCTCCTCAAGCAGTTTTATGACCGTGGCAACCCCCGCGGTATGCTTCCTTCTTCGCAACGTATTGCTCACACTGGAACTAGTCGAGCACTCGAAGAAGAAGCGCAAACACGCTACTGACTAACTTTGATGATTGATGGGCACTACCATTCGATTTGAAACAGAGAGTAGTATATAGAATACACGAATCAATTGCTAACGACTCGTTATGTTACTCGTCATATGCGGCCTCGCGGCGAGCTTTCTTCGAGTACCGTCGGCGCTCGGCATCCAAGAGCGCATTCTCGTTTGGTGCTGCGTCGTTTCCTTCCATAAAAACGTACCCAGCACGGACGGTACCGGCAGCGATGGCATCGGCAAGCTTTGAACACGCGCTGTCGTGGTGATACATCGAGTCGCAGTACGTGCAAAAGCGCGCGATTGGCACTGAACTCTCACTCGGCGGCGCGACACTTCGGTACGTCAAGCGCACTCGCCCTCTCTGCTTGTCCGTCGCCAGCTGCGAGCACTTCTTGTCTCGGTGCTTCGTCGACTGGCAGTAGGTGCAGAAGCGCCTGCTGGTGTCAACGAGCGTGTCGTCTTCGTCTTGCGGCCACTCGGCATCGTGCGGCAGCACGTACCCGTCGCGAACGATCCGGAGACGATGAGCGTGAAAGAGATGACGGCAGACGCTGTCAATGTGCCCCTTCGAGTGGCAGTAACCACAAGAGGAATGCACCGCTGGCTGCAGGCCAAGTACGCTTTTTTGGAGCGAGAACGCGTCATCGGGAAGGTTGGCAAGTTGCTTCTGAACGCACGCCTTCAGGTAATCGTAGCCGCCCGTCGGATTGGCTATTTGCCACGATTCAAACTCGTGCGTTAGGTGTGGCGCAAAAGCGTGAGCGAGGAACGCGGCCTTGGCGCTGTCGGCCATCGCCTTGCGCGCTTGCGCGATCGCACCGTGCCCGGAAGTTGCTAGCAGCGGGCGCAAGAAACGATCGATGCTGGCTTCGTAGCGCGCAAAAAAGTGGGTCGCCGCTTCGCGCCGAATGTACTTGAGCATTGCAACTTGGTCAAAGGTTCCGAGAAGATCGGCGCTGCCTACGCCGCGACCGATTCGGCTCCGTGTTCGCAGCATCTCCCAAATCTCAAACGCGGTCCGAAGTCCAATGAGGTCGTCGTGGAGGCGCGGATCTAGCGCTGAGAGGAGGTACTGTTTGGCAAAGTGGGCAATGTGTCCCTTGATCGCAGTGCACTCACCCATGACTGCAAGCGTCACGCGGTCATCCACGAGGCGTTGGCGGCGTCGCGACGCTTCGTTGTACGCTGCCATTGATAAACCGCCAGGAGCCCGCGGCTCGGCCGCTTCGGCACTGGCCACCAAGAGGTACATCTGCGCCGGCGAAACGTAGTCGGCAAGATTCGGGTCCTCGTAGTCCTTGGTGCTGAGGTACCCCGCGATATGGACAGCCTCGGCGCGGTCAAGGAAGCTCTCTTGCCACTCGTCAAAGTCCTCGTATTCGCGCAGGAGCGGGCCCAAGTACGGAGCTCGCTGTGCAAAGAGGCTCATGATCGGAACACTCCAGGATTGGCTGCGCTGTTTAGACGATGGGTTATTCAACCTGGGCTGGGGTAAAGCTCCAAAATTGACGTTAAACTATGACTCGATAGCTAACGCAGCGGCAAAGCAAGAGCTCTTTAAAAGACCGAAGGACATGTAGTATGCTATACAAGAATGTCGCATCGTTTGTGGACTGTACTAGCAAAATGATTCATTCAAGATACTTTCCGACGCTTCTTCTCGTTGGGATCGTTTGCCTGGCAATTCTTCGACGTCGACGAATGACCTTCCTGCTTGGTCATCTTCTTCCGCTTCGGCTTTTTCGTTTTGGGGGGCTGGGATGTGGATGGTGGCGCTGGAGGTTCTTCGGACTTGATGCCGTCCGTCAAGAAACGCGGAGGATTCATGAAGGCGTAGTCGGGCCGCAGCGTACCTCGCTGGACACTAATGGCAAGCCATCGACATTGTTGCTCGTCGTGCTTGATCGAAAGACAATAGCCGCAGGCTCGCGCCGACTTGGACGCTGATGCTGGACTTCGTGGAAGGTGCTGGCCCGACGGCATGCGATAAGTTGACGGTATTTTCTGGAAGCGGGCATGCACGCTCAGGACAGGGCAGGCGCCATCGAGATGTCCCACAACATTGCAGTACGAGCACTGGCGCGTAGGGGGCAGAGCTGCTTCTGTCAACCCGAGCGTCTTCATGTCTTTGGTCGCGAGGGGACAGCCATCAGCACGGCGATGACCTCCTAGTTGACAGTAGCTGCACGTCATGTGCGGTACCGAGGGTAGTAAGTAGTCGCCTCGAACTTGGTCGTTGGCCTCATCGACTGCGCGTCTGACACACGTTGCGTCAGTGTGCTCACCTTGGCCACTTTTCTTGACTTTCCGGCAGTACGTACAGAGGAAGGACTGTGGCTCGGGCGCTGTCATCGGCGGCGGCTTGTTCGTTTGCACCGCTAAGTTGGTGCTGCACTGCATCCACGCCTTGATGTCAGCGACCGAACAGTCGGGCGTCTTGTCAAACCAGGTCTTGAAATCGCCTTGACCGCAAAGAGCGTGCCCGAGGAGGACGGTTCGTAGTTGATCGAAGATACTTGTCGTGGCTGCAATCGCACCGTGGTACGCGGCCTCGTCCCATTCCGTCGTATCGCGCGGGATTGGCGCAAGTTGCGCAAGGAACGCGTCGATGGAAGCTTCGGTGCGCGTAGTAAAAGCGACAAGCGACTCCATCGGAAGGCGCGCAACCTTGCGGTAGCTGCTATAGAAGCGCGACGGATTCCTGGGCTCTGTCGGCTGCTTGGCTTTCGATTGGATATGCTGCCACATTTCGTACGCCTCGTGGATATGGAGTACGTCTGCGTGCAGTTGGGGGTGGAGCGAGGACCGAAGGAAGGCAGCGGCGTATCGGGCCCAGGAGGCCTGCATTACTGCTCGCTCCTTGTCGATCAAATTAGAGTAGTGGCTGTACACTGCCAGCTTCCGCTGCGTGGCTTGTTCTTGGAGCTCGACAAACGATGAGCCGCCCGCCAGTCGTGGCACCGCGGCCTCTGCCTCCAGCAAGAGCTGGGCGTGGCGCGAGACGCTGATGTAGTTGACCAAGTTGGGGTCTTTATATCCCGGCGTTGTGTAGTAGTCGGCGATGTGAACCGATCCAGCGACGATGAGAAACGTGCTCGTCCACGCAGCGACGTTGTCCCAGTCTTGGAGCCGCTCCCGCGGGTACGTCGACGCTTGCATGGCTTAACGGATTCTGCGGTATCCGGAATGGTGAGAAACCGGACGCGATATCCAGTATCCGGATAGCCGTGTCTTGCGTTTTGCTGCCAACGAACCAGAACATGGGCAAGTGCTCCAAGGACAAGCGTGTAAGACGCCACAGCCTCCGTACGCGGGCTTCCTCATCCAGCGTACTTAGGATATCTACTATCGCAAGGCCAAGGAACAGGGCTATCGAGCGCGATCCGCCTTCAAGCTTCTTCAGCTCGATGACACCTTCCGACTCCTTCACGGTACTTGGCCATGGTTTTGCAGCACCCATCAAGCTGTTCTAGGCGTCACACGCGTCGTCGACCTCTGCGCCGCACCTGGTGGCTGGACGCAAGTCATCTCTGAGCGACTGCCCCTGGCGTTCGTTGGCAAGGATCATGATACATCATCTTACTGTCGCGCGTAGGACGGCTGGCGATGTGAGCATTGTTGCGGTCGACCTCATGGAGATGGCGCCACTACCTAACGTCGTGCAGATCCAAGGCGACATCACAGCGCAGGCGACGGCGGACGCGATCATTGCCGAGTTCCACGGCGCGAAAGCCCAAGTAGTTGTCAGTGATGGTGCACCGGATGTTCTCGGCCTCCACGACCTAGACGAGTACCTCCAAGCGCAGCTCGTTCTGGCTGCGCTCAACATCAGCTTGAATGTGCTAGAAGAGGGTGGCACGTTCGTCGCCAAGATCTTCCGAGGCAAGGAGGTATCGCGCCTCTACGCACAGCTTGCGCTTTTTTTCGAGTCGGTTGTCTGTGCCAAACCCAAGGCAAGCCGCAACTCGAGCTTTGAGAGCTTTGTTGTGTGCAAAAACCTGCGAATTCCACAAGGATACACGCCCTCGATGGAGCTCAGTTTGTTCGACCTGCCGTACGAGACCGAGGCGGGCCGCGTGGCAGGGTCGACCCACGTGACTTTCCAGTCGTGCGGCGACGTCGATGGTTGGGATGCTGACCAGTCGTATCCAATGGACGATACGGATGTGCACCACGAGCCGCTGCAGCGCCCGATCAACCCACCGTATGCGCTGGCGCAGAAAACCGTTTAAAATCGAATGAACTTCATACACGATCTCCCTCGGCGATGTCACGCATAGTTCCAAGTGGCGCGATGGAGAATCTTATCAAGGGTCTAACAGGTCCCGTGCGGGGTGAGCTGGTAGGAACTTTTGAATACAATATATGTACCGGTATATATATGAACGTGTTTCGCGCTATCTTCGTTGTTACATTGAGTTCGCATACGTAGAGACTAGCAATCTTCTTCTTCATTATTCGTTCACCGGGCCGTGGCTGCGCAGGCGGCGGCGAGGGGGCTCGTCTTGCTCTTCTGTCGTCGCCCGGGGGCGCTTGCGGCCGCGGGTGAGGCCCATGACGACACACTGTGTAAAAGCCTTTCAGGCTTCGTCGTCGGGGGCGAGCTACGCAGTTTGTTGAGATCCTCGAGAGTCGCCAGCAACTGAGGCGGCGTCAACGACTGGAGTTCGCGGTGCTGGACGATCGGCAAC